AACGATTGGCGACCTCCGTGGACTGTGGCGACGTACTCTGCTTCAGACGTCGATAGCGCAACTCGTTTCTGTGACCTTGAGCTCCATGCGACAGGACCACCTGCCATCGTGAATACATACCCCATGGTTGACTTCCCTGACGTTCTATCATCGCCATGGGATGAATCCACATACCCAACAGGAGTTAGGCCATCATCTTCTGCGTTCCCTCGATGGTAGGTGATTCTATACTCGATCGTTCCCTTTAGATAGGCGAGGACATGCATAGCGCGGCTCCAATGTATGGGACGAGCATCCGAGGCGTATCGTTGAAGGTAGTTCGTGGCGAACGCAATATCAGGTCTCGTTCCGTTGGCGATGTGGTTCAATGATCCGAGAACCCCGCGATAATCCTTGTCCCCCATAAATTCCTTATCCGCATTAGGGATTGGTTGGGGTTGCGTATCCAGATTCATCAGGCTTCCAACTGGAAGCGGAGTCGCTTTCGGCTTGCAGTCTGACATCCCAAAATTCTCTAGGGTTTTCAGTATCAAGTTCTTTTGATGCAACGAAATAGCACCAGTTTCTTCGTCGAACTCCACGGTCATTCCAAGAACGCTGTTATGCTTCCCCAAATCCTTAATCTCGTAGACACTCCCAATTTCCTTCCGAACACGCTTGCCTTCCTCCATAGATGTGGACGCGCCAGAAACGTCGTCCGTATATGTACATGTGTACGTCCGTTCGGAACCATTCTTGAGAAGGCGAACACATGGATCCGCTCGTGACTGTTTATGGCCTTGCGCGGTAAGGGTGTTGTTGAGTTCGTGGAACCACGCATTCCCGGCGTCCATAGTCCCATACATCGCTCTCAACATCTGCAGGACGTAGTCTCCCTTTGGATAGTCCCTGGTAACTATATCCTCGTATCCTTGTGGCAACGATACGTAGTTTTCACCTTGTGGCTCTGCATTTAGATATGCGCCGACGAAGTCTATAAGCCAAAAATCCAGACCATGAGCAGCGACAACCGCAAAGAACATCCGTAAAGATTCGTATCGGACGACTGCTGCGAATGAGTCGTAATAATGGAGTCCTTTGATTTGCGTGAATCCTTTGACTACGAGTCTAGCGCGTCGTTTGAGGAGCTCAGCTGTATCCCCATCGAGTTTCTTATCGAATGTCCAGCGAGTATCAATCACTTGCATCCATGGTTCTCTCGGCACAACTCTCCAGACATCTCTTTCTTCCATGCGTCGAATCTCTGCATCCATAGCTGGCCTCCAGATCTTCGCCTTGGTCATAGCTTGGTTGTAGTCATCTGGTACCCACATGTCATGTCTATCAACGATATTACTGATTTCCGAAGCTTTAAGGGCAACAATGTCTTCAACGTCGTCTTCATCAGCGAGTAGTGGAATGGTATTATCGTTTGCCCAATCGTTTCCCTTTCGTTTGGCTTCTTCTTCACGTTGGGCATACTCCTTCGATTCAAGTAAGGCTCTAGTGGGCTTTGGTATGCGGGACGGACGTTTTGCAGGCGGTGGATTAACGTGTGGTTGAGTTGGAGGTGCTTGGATGGGTGCAGTTGGCAATTGGGCTTGATTGCGATCAGGGCTTGGAGGATCGATCGGTGGCTGTGAGTGATTCTCGATCGTTTCTGCGAGTGGTTCGATGAGGTCTTCGTACGCAATCTCCCCCTCACGAAGAGAAACGGTACGAGTAGGACTTAGCTCCTCGAAAATGACATCACGAGAGATGATAACCTTATTCCCAGGTACGTCATCCAGAAGAATCCTGTATGAACCATGCCCTGCCAAGCCAACAAACCGTCCCTTCTGTCCTCGCGGAGATAACTTGCTGTGGCCTTTCGCTGCAGGGATTTTCACATAACACGTTGATCCCCAAACTCTGAGGTGGTTAACAGTTTGCCGTTTACCGGTCCATTCCTCCTCTGGAACCTTCCCTGGGTGCCTTGATGATGGCAGCAGATTTCCAGCCTTTATCGCATAGTCGCAAGCCTCGGCCCACCACCCATCAGACATCTTTGCTTCTAGGAGCAGTATTCGGACCGTCCCAAAGACGATACCAAGCGTCCGTTCAGCCATCCCGTTGGCTGCAGACGAATAGGGTGCTGTGAACTCAATGATCACACCCTTTTCTATGCCCCACGTCTTCCATAGGTCATTGCGAAACTCGTTATCGCACCGGATTTTCTTCAGCTTCTTCCCTGTTTGTCTTTCTGCCATAACAGTGAACTGATTTAGTGCCTTGATGGTAGTTTCGGCCCTTCGATCCGAGATGTAGTAAGGCGTTCTCCGAGACGTCGCATCATCAGCGAACACGAGGGCATATTTCGCTCCCCCAATGGATTGTACGCGGGCTGGGCCCCAAATATCAACCATCACCCGCGCTAAAACCACTTTCTCCGGCACCACGTCAGCGTCAAATGGCCTTCTTCTCTGGTTTCCCAAAATGCACGGCTCGCACTTTCCCCCAGCACGTTCAGTTTTCGCAATGTTCAGACCATCCACAAGCGTTCGTTTTTCCAACTCGGTGATTCGGTCAACTCCAAGGTGTGCAAACCGCATGTGCCACATTTCGATGGGTACGGCCGCCTCTAGTGATCTCGCTGCAAGGGCAGTATATTCCTCACTGTGCATCAACGTCCCATTAATTGCATATAGGTCGTTTACCAACGTCGCCGTGAACTGGGGTGTCCCTTTCTGGTCTACGAAGGTTGCTTGGCTGCCTCCGAAGGTGACGAACCAACCTTCTTTGTCCAGTCTGCTAATTGAGATTAGGTTGGCAGAGACGTCTGGGCAATGGAGGGCCTTGCTGAGGGTAAATACGTTCTGGATACCTGCCACTGTTGACTTCAAGGCTACGGTGCCGATACCTTGTATTTTCAGAGCGGCGCCAGCCTTCGAAGAAGTTCCAGTTGTTTCACCAAGCGGCATGTAATGGAAAAAGCAGTCTTTGTTTTGGATGAAGTGGGTGGATGCGCCAGAGTCCCCGTACAACAGTGAGGTGTCTACAAACCCTTGACTAGCATTATTGACCATCATCGTTGACTTCTCTGCTTCCAGTGCCCTTTCAATAGACTTCAAGGTTTCATCGTCGATGATTGCGCTCAATGCGGTGACATTGGTGTATACGGAGCCCGCCTCGGATGATGACGCGGTGGCTAGGTTTGCGGAACCAGGAACAGGTGCGTCCCATTTCCCTTTCCACCAGGGGGGATATTGACCCTGTCTCCCTCCCCCTAGTTTCCAGCACTCGTCGAGGGTATGACCCAGTCCTTTGCAACTCTCGTTGGCCGTGTGAGATTTGTCGGACCTAGGTGCTGCGCCTTTCTTTGAGGATAAGCTTTGGACTTGTAGGGTTAGCGCTTGGATCGATGCTTGGAGTGCCTGTACGGTGGACTCCTGTGTAGATGAGGGGCTGCTAACGGAGTTCCGTCCGACTACTCGTTCGCCGTGGGCAATAAGACGTGCGATAACGACCGTGAGGTTGTTCTCGGCATAGAGCGTGCTGACGACGGGGGTCCCAAGTCTCGGGGAATGAGTCTAGCAGAGTCGTCTTGAAACTTTTGTCGTCAATGCCTGCTCCAGCGTCGTTGGCCTCCTTTCGGAGCTTTCGCATCCTTTCAATATACCCTCCATCGCCGCTGACCTTTTCCCCGTCTTGGTATTTCACGGCTTTCAACGTCTTTTCCCTACGGTTGCGGATTAGGTCCGAGTATGCGCCGTAATCAGTCTTGAGTACTTCCCAGGCCATGTGGGATGGTTTGTGAGGGTCGATTCCGACGCCAAATACGTCCTTCACATTGCGAATGATTGAGGCAAGTGCAACGCTCTCGCGTTGGGCGTATTCCAGTGAGTTCGGGGTAAGACTATTGATGGGGGTTGCTGGTAATGGTGCGAGTGTGGCGCCAGGGATTGCAACCTTGTTCTCCCAGTAATTGACGAGGCCTCGAGTGTTTCCTTCGGTCATCATGACCATTTCGAAGGTTGCCCAGTTCTCGCCATTGAATTTCTCGTCGTCGTCGAGTTTGATGGGGAGAATATGGTGAGAGGAGGTCGTCATGATAGGGGGTGTATGGAGTTCAGTATGCACAGTCTGTGCGGATTATTGAGTCTGTTTGGTAGTACGTGTGTGTTGTTGACTAGGAGGGATGAGCACGGGAGCCCAGAACCTGTTAAGATAACAACAGCTCAGTCAGTCACACGAAGATGTAGTGAACAGCTGAGGTGCGTAGAGGGGCAAACGCCGTAGTTATAAGGATCGGGAGAAAGGAGGTATAGTCTAAATATAGTAAGTAGGAACATCGAACGAGAAATAATGAGAATACTGGTAGGGTAGGCTGAATCCTCGACAATGTTCTCAGAACGCCATCCGCTTAGTCTAGTGCAGGATGAACGGCGGGGTTTGCTGGAAGCTTTCAATTGATCACCCACAGCGCTGGTTCCCCTTTGAAAAACCACGTCCGATAAATGATGAGAGAAATGAGATCAGATGGCATACCATATTACCATTGAGTATGCTGGGTGAGTTGTCAGCGGTGGCGAGAATGGCAAAGTGTTCAAAATAATCCTAGTCAAGATAAGAAAGGAGGAATTTAATACGAGCTAAGTTCGAGAAACATGCACCGCCTCTGAGCTCTGTACCTTTAATTCGTTATGCCGCCCACATCAGATGGGTCGGCCTGGATCGGAGGAGAAATCGGCAGGAAATGAAGGAGTGCCAGTGACGGAACGGTCCTCGTTGATTTTCTCATTGGTATGCCAAGAAAAAAGGTCCGGTACCGACATGAGATTGAGATTTACGGAGAGACCGGTTCCGATGATTGGAGTGGGTTTGAAACAGGAGCTCGGTTAACCTGGAAAGTGGAAAGTGCTGCGATTGGCCGACTACGTGGGTTAGTGATGCGGACAGGATATCTTTGCTAAACCAACACTAAACAACCTGTATGTCGGTGAGCAGTGAGCAGACCACTGGAGAAGAAAGGTTTACTGATATTACCAAGGCCTCTGAGAATCTTCCTCCACTCTTGAAGCGTTCTTATACTTCAATAGCCAAAGGTCAGCAAAATGGCTTTTCATCAGAACGGATGGCGCTTGGTTTCTGGGAAAGAATGAAGGGCATATTTGACGAGAGGAGATCCTCAACTTGCCTGCGAATCTGCACAGTAAGCCTGTGGTCATATTGCATATACATGACCACTTACCATTTGGCAGGTGATTCTCTCAAATACATGTTTGCGCGTTGTGATGGTGTTGCGAACGCCGGATGCCTCTAGATTCCTGCAGAGACCTTTGGTCCATCATGATCGGGCAGAAGTGGGAGGCTCCAAGTGTAGATGTGAGTGTGGAGGAAGGACGTTCTTACCCTCGGTCATGGTGGAGCCCATTCCATGTCCTCGCACCCCGCACCCCCATCTACCTCGCCCTCCACCTCCATCGAACCTGAGCACTGCGCGGTTAGCACTAGGGTGCCGACTTGGGTGCTCGAACTTGACTTGCTTACCAAGCGCAGCCAATCTGTGCCTTGGTCTTGTAGCCTTGAGTTCAGTCATTGTGTATGCTGTTGCATTGTGTCTGTCGGTCGAGTTACAACGGATCAGTGTATGCACCTTGTTGTCCACCAATCCAAGCCCTGTGAAGGTATATTATGCTCTAACCCTAGGACTTGTCTTTGCAGAAAATCTCTGAATGCCCCGTAAGAAATAAGCTTACCTCCGCGCCATTGCGAGCAACAGCTCACACCACATTCAAGATGCTGCACGACCGTCAGATTACGCTAAATAGCACGGAGCTAGCTCACCCTTGAGCACTATGACACAACTAATTACCATGGCAGTGAACAAAAAAATGCTCGATCATCTTTACCCTCCACCATCTATCACAGAAGCATTAGACATAGATATCAATCACAGAAGCATCGGCATGCCTCAGCATATGTCAAAAACACATCGGCAGCAGCCTCGGCATCTGTCAAAGAATCATCGGCACCGACGGATGGAATGGTGTGCCGGACAGCCGCCGCCGTTTCAGCCGCTGGGCTAGCCTCTAAAGAGAAGCATCAGGCATCGGGGGGGTGGGCGTCAAACTCCCCATAGACCACTCCGAAGCTCACGTCGTCGATTATGGTGCCCTCCACTCATCCCTACCCTACAAAAAACGCCGCCAGTATCCGCCCCGACGGTGCGCACTATCCGCAGAAACCTCGCGTCCAAGTTCAAACCAATTCCCACACTCATTCCCACCCTCCTAGTCCCAGGCGTGACAAACCCCTTCCACCTCTTCCACCCCTTCCAGATGTCCAGCATGCGCTCGAACTTGAAACATCTCTGGAATGGCAACGCGATACCATCCATCCATCCTTCTACCCAGCCCCGTACACCGTTGACACGAAGATGCGACTTCTTCGCAACGGCAAATATAGATCACCTATTCCACACACACCTGCTCCGCCTTGCGAGCGATCTTGCAACAGACGATCGCTGCCGCCACTGTACAGTGCACTTGATCTGGATGGGCCTCCGCGTTCCTCTCGGGCCGTCCACTTCATCCATTGACTCGTCGACAACACCCACAAATGTCATGGCAATATGGGACATCCTATGACAATGTCGGGCCCCTCTTCTCCATTGGACGCGTCGCCCAACAGCAGCTGCCATCCGTCCAACCACAGACAGTCTCCAGGCAGTCGTGTCCGCAGCTTCTTCCAAAGGTGGAGGGAATGGCTTTGCCTCCAGGGCACCCGCAACAGATGATCAGGTAAGGACGAGCCGTTTTGTCGCGTTCTCCTCTGACCACCGTTCACTAGATCCTGCCCTCACCCCAAGCGCATCCCACTACTCATATTCCCCATGCTTGACGTCTTGTTCTACCTTGCACACCTGTATTATATCCATGTCTTCACCTGTAGTATATTGCTCCAGTCCAATTGATCTCTACTGTACATTTTTAGTTTCTTACACATTTCTTGAAGTTAGTACTCATTTCACCTTTTTTTTGATTTTCGTTAGCAAGTCGTGTACCAGTATTCAAGGATGTATACGTACCCCACCCCCAAGCAACAATCCTCCTCCTGTTTTGGATTGCGCACGTAGAATGAGCCATTAGGAATAGTAGTACCGTTGGTGAAAACCAGTCATTTCATTGGGATTGTTTTGTACCTGTGATGATCAGGGTCCTTAAACGACTTTTCAGCAAAATGAGGTGCTCGAAAACGTAAACTTTACCTCATCTTTCTGACTCAAGAAGTGCAATTCAGCAATGGTCCAACCATCTTCACGCATGCAATACTCCCGCCATTATGCATATGAGCGAATGTAAGATATATGCTGGGTCCAACACATGAGTATTGAGGGTTGTTTGGGACTAGGGAAAGACAAAGCTTTAGCGTCCGAGCTGACCAAGTCGAGTATGGTAGGCACTTACAATCCTTGGAAATTTGCTCTATCGTTCAATGTGAGTTCTCCGGGAGAGGAGACACAATCGTGGTGAAATAGACAGCGTTGTGGACATGGGTGGACATGAGTCGTCGTCAGTATGACCTCAAGAGACCAAAGTCGCCATCGTGTGGAACAACGTACGAGCTGTTTGGCCAATACATAGATATTTCCACATGTAGCTCATTAATGCATACCGGTGCTCCTGACATGGAGACGTCAGCGGCAGTCAAAGAGTGATATAGAGATGGTATACCATCACCATGAAACCCATAGCCGCGCATCCCGACAATGTGAATATTCTTCCAAGCAGACATTTGCAGTGTGTTGTATGTCAGCTCTGGAATCTGCCAGTGTCATCAGGATAAGCCGAGAGGGACAAACGAGGTGAGAATAGGTTTGACTTTACTATTCTTCTCATGCGGAGTTCCACTCTTGGCCGTCGCGCAATGCTAAACGACCCAAAAAATTGGTGAATGGACCAGGAGGATGTTGTATCCCCTTGATCGAAAGGATATTTCTGTGTGGATTTCCCCAGGCCAATTTCCAAATTGATTAATTGGCAATCACATTCAACAATAGCCACAGATCTCCCAGCTTCTTCAGAAGGGAGAACAATGGATTGATCGGGTAACCAAAAGGTGGCGCTTTCCAGAACAATGTCCATCTGTAGTATGTACAATCAACGTTGAATACAGAACGTTTCAAGACCTGCTTTTAAAGCATCATGGACGTAAGGCTGGTGGGAGGACAAACGAATTACTCATTTCTTTGTTCTGTCCTGTTTCGTGACCCCTAGCGCCACGGCGGTTGATTTCACAACTGTTTGCTATTGTTATACATATCTCCACCGAGAGCATCTGGACCAGAAATTCGACAATGCAGGTAGTCTGTGCACGTGGCCAGGGATTTCATAAAATCCCAATGCGGATGGAAGCTGGCACCGTTTGTTCATAATACTGGCGAGTGACTCTCGAGTACAACAATGGGCCTATAGAGGCTGATAAATCACTGAATGCACTCGCAGCAGGAAAGGCGGAGGCTCCAGGAGGGGATCGCGGTGCAGGGAAGATAGGGAGTTTTTGCACATAAAAATGTGACTGAATTAATGCATTTTATTGCCGAATTCATGAACGAGAGATTTCAGGAGAGGGAAATAAATATATGTCCTAGAGCAACATAGACAAGTTTGGTAGCAACTCTCGATAGACGCCAGAATGCCGTCGTCCCGCAAACAAATGTCTCCCAAAACCAGAGTGAGTTCCATTGACCTGCATACCACATTCACCACTACCACTACAATACGCGCCTAGGATCGATACCTGATGATCTGAGCAAGGATTTACTCGACTTCAAACCCAGGGGGAGCTTTTGTTCCTGTGCTCACGCACATCCGGTCCAACAACCGCTTCCCATTCATTGAGGGTGTATTCTCTGGGATGGATATGCAGCCCTTCATCCATGATAAGGTCGTTGAGGTTTATCGGTGGAAAAAGCTGGCACGGCGATATCGTTGTGATGCGCATAGGTGTTGCTGAGGGTATGTATGTATCAAACATGCAGTCAAAGAACAGATACCTGTCAGATTGGATGATAAAGAAGTAAGTTTTGCTGATTCCATTGTCAAGAGAGCAGGCATGGGGACTCACATATGATGCAGATTTGTAGGGTGCTCTAGGCAGGGTCGCCCACTGCGCATGCCCAAGACGCTCTCATTTTGCAAAGAATAGCCATAGTCAGAGAGAGTTAGCTGTAGATTGATCTTTAGAGAATGGCGAACCAGGTTCCCGGGGTAAACCCCATGGAGCCATGAAGCGACCCAAGTACTGAGTGAGGAAGCAAGGTGGCACCAGCAGTGGGTAGACGAGACTGGTGCCAAACAACCTGCAGCCAAACAGTGAGTCCGCCTGCCGTAGCAGCTGTACTACCTTCCTTTCTTTTACTCTTACTTGCAGCGCTCACTTCACCTCTATGGCTGGCAGCTCAGGGTTTACCCAGGCTACCTCTATGGCAGCAGGATTCGATTAAACTTTCATGGATTTATCCTAGGAGCTGGACCAACGCAAACGAGACGGTCGTGTCAAGGCTATCCTCGACCTTCTTGTTCACGAAATTCTTTGCAATCAAGTAAGTTTTCATTTGCTTGTAAGGCTGCAGTAGAACTTACCCGAATATTATCCAGTTCGTCGTCGAGCCGGAGGTCGGCCAAGGAATATGCTTTGTGGATTTCTCCCTTTGGTTTTGGGATCTTTCCATCAGCATTGGCATGGATGGCGATGATGGGTTGGGATGAAAGGATCTGTCTCGGCGCTGCTGTTTCTGAGGTGGTGGGTTCTCTTTGATGCTCTCCTTGAAAGTATCCAAATACAACATCCCAGCCCATCCACTGGGTGATTGGAACGCCGCTTGCGGTGAACGGCGAGAAAGAAGATCTTTGGGTGATTGCTGGTGGGGGGATTCTGACTTGAGTGCGCATCGCTGTAGGAGATCTGTTGTTAGCCACTAACTCTAATCGACTTAGATCGTACTAGGATCGCTACTCGCACTTCGGTAGACGATGCTCTAGCAAGTCAAAGGCGACAAAAGTCGATGGGACAGATAGTCTTGAAGAACGGAGTTCGATGTTAGGTAGATTAAACCTTAGCCGAAGCTGGGGTTTAGGCCAGCTGAGGCTCTACTTAAATACACGTTGAGTAGACTAAAAATAGTACTGTGGGAACATCCGATAGGAATCGCATCATAGAGTAAGCGTGAACACGTAAGGAAAAAGGAAAGAAAAAGAATAAACCGTAACATTACCCCCTCCTTAAGACTCATTCGTCCTGAATGAGAATATTTCTCCTCCCTTCCACATCGTCGAGTAAGAGGGGCTCCCTTCTGCTTTAAAACAGTTCAGCATTGGGTCCGCTGGGCCTCGAGAACTGCCGTCGGCCGCATCCCTAGCTTCACCTGGATCCTGGTATCCGTGGATATCCAGGACCACCTTGCGCCAGTTAGGCCTCCTACTGTCTGTCAGGACACCCTGTCCCTAAGGGTTCATTGCTCAAATATTGAGCGGTGGTAATCCCCTTCTACACCATAAATAAGTCTTTAAGACTCATTCGTTCCGAATGAGTCCTCAGTTCCCTCGTTCTCGCTGTCCGAGGTAGAATCCCGGGATTCAGAGTAGAATGATGGAATGTCATCCTCGACATCGTTGTCATCATCTTCATCCCTATCCCAGTTCTCTGCGACTCGTTGCAGGTGATCCACGTTGACCTCGTCATCTGTAGGCGGATCCAAGAGGACAGGAGGGTTTTTATACAGTCGGTCCTCCCGTCGGGACGCTTCGATCTCGAGTTGCCGCCTTTTCAAGTACGAGTCCCGTACCCGGGGATTATAGAGCTTGTGTTCCTCCCGATGACGAGGGTATGGTACGACAGGGCCCTTCTCGCTCGGATGATCCTGCATATACTTCTTGTTCTTCTCTATTAGCGCTTTGTCCATTGCTTCAGAGATGTTGACCACTAGTTTCCGGAGCGAGGAGGTGGCGGATATATGCCCTATGCTTCGACCTGCGTCCGACCCGGCTACTCCTCCTACTAGATTAATTTTTTCGGAGTGTCGCGATGCGGTGCATTGGGAGGATGGAACGGTGATAATATCGGTTACACAGGGCATGTCCGGTTCATGGTACTGGATTGGTAGCCCTCGGGGTATTTTATCGTCCACCCCCACCGTCCGCCCTTGCTTATCGACTGTCCACCACACTTTCTGAATACGCGTTTCGTAGTCGTTGACGAGTTCTTCTGCATTGGCCATGTCGGAGCGTTTGACCCATGAGTTTTCTTCTGCTGGATATCCTTTCCATTTTACCAGGTATTCAGTAATGGTGCGGCGGGTTCGTCCTCGGCCGATGATACGGTCCCTCTCTCCTACAATTTCCTCGATCTCATACTCCTCCTCCTCGTCAATTAATTCTGGAGGCGGTCGCTCAGGACGTGGTTGGTTCGGGAATTCAGGGGCATGATATGGAGTTAGTAGCGCCTCGTTGAATCGGTTGTGAATGCGCCACTTTGTGGGGAGCTTCAACTCGTAAGCTGCTGCTCCTTTCTTGGCCACGATAGTAAACGGTCCGACTCGTCTGTCTCCTAGTTTTCTTGCGGGACGCGGAAGGTGTAGGTTGGTTGAGTCCAGCCACACCTTGTCGCCGACTTGGTATTCCACCGCCTTTTCTCTATGTTTGTCATAGGCTTTCTTCATCGATTCCGCCACTCGTTCCAGGGATTGCTTTGCCCTTTCTTGTACTTCTTGGATCCCCTGCACCAGCTTCGATGCGGCCGGTACCGCGTCTCGGCGCTGGGTAGTCTTGATAACCTGCCCGTCCCTTCCAAAGACCACTTTGTATGGTGAGAAACCGGTAGCGGAATGTTGCCGATTGTTGTGAGTGAACGCGGCAAGTGGTAGCCACTTGCTCCAGTCATCTTGCCGATAATTGACAAACATCTTGAGGTACTTTTCGATTTCTTGATTGACCCTCTCCGTCTGTCCGTCCGTCTGAGGGTGGTAAGCCGTCGAGGGGTTTCCCGTCACTTGAATGAGCGCGTAGAATTCCTTCATGAACTTTGATACAAACATGGCACCCCTATCCGAAATAACTTTTTCTGGCATCACGCCATATGGCACGTAGATATAATCCTGTAGGATTTTAGCGAAGCCCAAGGATGATAGTTCCTCGGTGCATGCAATGGGAATGATCGTCTTCGAGAACCGGTCCACCAAGACTAAAATGGAGTTGTGCCCCTTTGAATCGGGGAGTTTAGTAATCATATCCACCGAAATGTGCGTCCAGGGTCGGCTTGGGACCTCGTTTGGGTGGAGAGGCGCTTTCTTAGGACGACGGTCCGCCTTGGTTCTCTGGCAGACCTCGCACCCCTTTACATAGGCCTCCACCTCTGAGCGCATGCGAGGCCACCAGTAATCTCGTAGGATGAGCTCCTTCATCTTCTCTATCCCCGGATGCCCCGCTGTTACATGATCATGGCGTAGGGCTATGATCTCGCCCCGTAGCCGACTGTCCCTGGGTACGTAAATGCGTCCATCATACCACAGCAATTCTTGGTCTCGCGAGATGCCCTTTTCGTGGTTAAGGGAATCCGAGATGCCTCGGTCCCATTTACGGGGGTCGCGAGTGGCCAACTTGGTCCTTTCCTGGAGCTCCTCCACGGTGGGCATGACCAGGGCTTGGAAGTGTTCGGGCTTCAGGACGGTTATGTCCTTATTGTCGTCCTTCCCTTGGTCGTGGTCCGCCCTCCTCGATAGCAGGTCTGCCTTTCGGTTTTGGGCTCCAGGCTTGTGGTGAAGAGTGAACTGATACTCGGCCAGCTCGGTCACCCATCGGGCTTGCCGTCGGTTGAGTTTTTGGGGTTTACAGAAGTACTGGAGGTTGGAGTGGTCCGTCCAGATTTCGAAGTCTTCCCGAGCGCCCATTAGGTATTGGCGCCATTCTTCTAGCGCGATCATTATCGCCAGGAGCTCTTTATCGTAGATCTCGTAGTTTCGTTCGGTGACCGATAAGGACTTAGAAAGAAAGGCGACTGGTCGCCATTTCTCCTCTTGCCATTGCGATAATACGGCCCCGATTGCTCCTTCACTGGAATCGGCCTCCACTCGGAACCTTCCTTCGTCGAGTGGAATGGCTAGCACTACGTCTTCACGGAACAGCTGCTTCAGCTTCTCGAATGCCTTCTGTTGGGCCTCCCCCCACTTCCATTCTACCTTCCCGGTCAAAGCAGTAAGCGGCTTGACATGCCTGCTGTAGTCTCGAATGAACCGTCAGTAAAAATTGCAGAAGCCTAAGAACGACTGGAGTTCTTGCTTCTTAGACGGGACCGGCCAATCCAGGAGTCCCACGATCTTTACTGGGTCCATACGAACCTTCCCCTCGCTAATGAGAACGCCTAGGTACTCGGTCTCTTCGACCTCGAACTCGCATTTCTCCGCCTTTAAGAACAACTTGTTGTCACGGAGTATCTTGAGCACCTTGCGTACGATGCATCTGTGGTCCTCCTTGGTCTTAGAGGCGATAAGGATATCGTCGAGGTAGATGGACACTTCCCCCGTGGTGATCAGATCCTTGAAGATGTCGTTCATCATCCACTGGAAAGTGGCTGGAGAATTCGTGAGCCCGAAGAACATCACAAGGGGCTCGTAGAGGCCACGATTGGTCCTGAATGTGGCCTTCCACTCATCCCCCTGTTTTATCCGCACATTGTTATACCCCCAGCGCACGTCCAACTTGGTGAAGTATTTGGCTTTCTTTAAGCGATCCATGAGTTCCCCAATCAACGGCAGCGGGTAGCGATTCTTGATGGTCATCTCATTGAGTTTACGATAATCCTGTACTGGGTGAAGCTTCCCATCCTTCTTCTTAACGAAGAAGAAGGGGGATGCCATAGGAGATTTCGAGGGTTGAATGCGACCCGTGGAAAGATTCTCGTCAAGGAACTTGTCCAGTTCCTCTTGCTCCATGGGATTAAGTGGGTAAACTTTGCAGTCTAGATTGGCGTTAGCGTTGGGGACCAATTCGATGGCGTGATCCCAGGGCTTTCACGGCGGCAACTCATCGAAGTTCTCCTTGGCGAATACGTCTTGGAACTCCCGGTACTCCTTGGGTACTATTTCCTCAAAGGATTTCGTCGGCTTTTGTGCATTTGCCTGGGCGGCTAACTCGTTGGCTTTTGTGCCCATGGCTCTGACGTGGAAGGCCTCCTCAAAATCTATCACTAGGATGGTATCCCCTTCTTCGTACTCATCCCATCGCGAGGTGGGATCGGTGTCCGGGAGAGAAAACAGGATTTTTTGGCATGTACAGCGGGCGAGAGTAACTGCCCCGGTATCCCAGTCGATAAGTGGGTTGTGCCTTTGTAGCCAGTCGTGTCCCAGAAATAGGGGAGTAGTCCCTAGATCTACTACAGCTAGCTCAATCCTTTCCACATGGTCCCCGATGCGTAGTCGTAACTCGGCGTACTCTGTGATGTCGTCCCCTTTGTTTCAGGTCCCGTCGGCATTGTAGACCGGAACGGGTTGGGCCGCCTTTTTGAGATTGAGGGCATGTGACTGAGCCCAGGCACGGTCGATCGAGCTGCCAGTTGCTCCGCTGTCTACTAGCGCTTTTACTGAGTGCGTCTCACGAGTGTCGAGTGTTTCTAACTGTACTTGGATTGACACGTTACGCCCCTTCCTTCCTCGTATATACATGGGGGGCTTTTTGAGATCTTCCATCCATCCCCACTTGTCCCTAGATTCTGCAGC